TCACAAGCGAAGTGGGTGAGTTGTAGCCGATACCAGCTCATTTCGGGCAAGAGGGAGGGTACACCCTGAATTAATGGCCAACTGCATATCAAGCATTCTACTCTATTGCAGATGTCTAAAATAGAGCTCGAATTAGCCGTTCATGACATCTGCTTTCACACAGTTGACGGTTTTTGCAAAAGACACGAGCCCACACACATGCACACAACACACCGAGCATGTATAAAATAATTATGTCCATGTAAAACAAAACCAACCCAAATACAATTTTTTTTTTTTTACAGTTTAAAAGGGGTTAGATAAAAGCAAGAATCATTAATCAGGCTGTATAGTTGCCTTCTAAGTGGTACTTTGCATATAACAAAGAATAAATGCAGTTTCAATAACCCTTCGGGGTAAAGACAAATAACAGAAAACTGCTTTCAAAGGAATTGAAACTAATTTGCCCACCCCTAATTTATGCGAAGTGGTACTTTGAAGTAACTCGGTTAAGCAGAAGGGAATATATAAAGAGGATCTAATGGGATCACGTCAGTGACAAAATGCAAGAATAAGCACTGCAAAAAAACAAAAACAAAACAAAAAAAAACCCTCAGAAGGCTTATTATGTATGCATTTGTTCATGATTTATAAAAGGGGCTTAACAAATTTATTGGTACTATCTTGTCAGAGAAGCCCAGTGAAGAAACTCAAATTTGGTTCTTAAAAAAGTAAATTCAGTTTAAAATTACTCATTGCCATCCAAAAAAGTGAAATAATAGTTTATATAATTTAGTTTTTTAAACCTAAATTAAACGTGAACATTTTCTCATTTGATTATAAATTAAATTCTATATAGATTACATAGACTGGATGGATGGACAGAGAGACAGAAAGCTAGAGACAACCTCTCCCAAGTATACAACTTCTCTCTGTCTCTGACTGCCTTGTCCAATCACAATTCACACTCTGTTACCTTATTGACGTCATAGACAATATTTAATTACAGAGCTAATGAACAGTCTGCTCCCCAGAAATGCAGGCTTGCAACAATATTCAACAATCACAGTATATTATGTACCAACAGAGTGAGACTCTTGTTCCATCAGTGGTACGCATACCACAGTGAAAATAACTGGGATAGACTCAGACAAAAATCCCGTCTGCTACCTAAAGTGAAAGCCTGTTGTCACCCAAAAAGGGATGACAGTGCGACAAATCATCACTTCTATTCGTAAGATTGCTTTTTTTCCACATTTAAAAAAAAAAGTTTATAATTATAGTTTTGTCTTTTTTTTAAAGCATAAACTGGCAAAGAACTGCTGAGAGCCCCGGAGAGAGGGGAAACAAAAATTAAATAAATAAAAAAGAAACAAAGGCTTAATCATCTTCTGACCTTTCAAAAGGAGCTGGTGTCTTCCGACATGACAAAGTGTTGCAGCCCTCTCTCTCGCTCTCTCTCTTTTGCTCTTCCTTCTCCTTCTCTTTCCTCCACTCCCACTCATTATACATCTATTTCACACTAGGTCCTAATGAGCACTTACTACTACTGTGTAGTGAGTGTGTACGTGGGGTTCAGCGGTTGGATGTATCCACCCAGCTGAGCTCCTGCACTACTTCTGAGCGTCCTTGTCTTTGTCCATCAACATTCCTCTCGGTTGTCCTCTATGTGTTTACTTTTTCATCTGACTCTTGGCATCAAGGAGTTGTCATTGAACTCCTGTCAGTGTCAACGACTGTCACGTCTCTGAGACTTTACTCCCCGTGAGCTCTCCATTTGAAGGCCTTAATGAGCCCTGTGGAGGCGAAAGCTGTCTCCTGCACCTCCTAGCAACCAAGAACTGAGGGGGCTGACACACATGGGGAAAGGTAGAAGACGGTCAGGGCAGGCAATTAACTTTTCGGTGGCACCGCACGGCCATCGAGCCCTATGGGAAGGTGTGTTATCAATGAGCTGCCATACATCTTCCACTCCTGTGGATATAATCACACCAACCTACCAGTATTTCCTGCCAAACTGAAGAGAGAAAAGAGATTTTAAACTATTAATGCCACATTGCATGTTGACTTTGCAAAAACAGGTCGACTTTTTTACCCAAAGAGAACAGTTGTAAATTGTGTGCGTTACGAAAGGGGGGGAAAATATTAGTCTTACATATAAAATAAATGTAGGAATGACTTGTCATGAGACTGGACTTGGAAAGTTCATCCATTTTCTGATCCTCTAATTTTCAGGCTTCCTCAGAGCATGCTAATAAGCTGATCATTTGAATCAGGTTTGTTGCAGGTGCAACACGTCGAAAACAGGCAGGACAGCGGCCCTTGAGGACCGAGTTTGGGCATCACTGATGTACAAGCTATGTTGTCTTTTTTCAAAAGATTACTTTACTTTGAACATAATGGCTTGAATACCAATTGCAGTACAGAGCGGTGGGTTCCATTAGCTCATGCGTACAACCTCACTCATACATGATGATTCTAACAAAGTAGAACGTAAGATAACTGATCATTTTGTTTCATTAATTTTAATATGTAATTCTTAGGAATTAAGATTCAAACGTAAAAGTAATATTTTGGCTTGAAAATCAGAGTCATCAATAAATGAATAAAAAGACATCGAAATAAAAACTACATCTGCCTTTGTGGATGGAGCTACTTTTAACAAGCGCCCTTTAAACAGGCTTTTTAACTTTGTGGGAAATAAATATACAGTGTAAATAAAATATAAATGAATATTTCCAAGTGCCACCTTCAATGTGCATGCAGAGCTCTAATTTGGTATAGAGTTTGGATGAGCAAAATTAAAACTTTACCATTATGATGGTATGTCAAGTAATATTTAAATTGTTTGGCAATTCCTTTCCAAGTGCTTGCCTTTTATCACTCCAAATTTTAAAGTACGCTGATGCAAGTCATAGAGGATCTAATTCTTTAAAAAATTCAAACACCAGGGTCGTAAAATGTAACAGAAGCCGAAGGACAAATTGCATATTTTTTGCACAAACTATCAAATTAAAGGAAACTTCTGGGAGCTATATAGCCTGCAGAGGCTTTTGGAAAGTGGGTGTTAAGATGAATCGTGACAATAAAGAGAATTGAAGAAAGGGCTGCGCTCAAAAAGATGGGCCCAAAAGAGAAGGAGGGAGAACATAATGTCAGCGATGCTTGCATGTGGCTTTGGAAGAGGACAGAGCATCTCTCAGCTCAAACAAAACACAACACAATGTACCTCATACACGAATCAATAAGTTGAAATGTTTTCACTCTGTGCACAAGTTGAGCGTCTACAAAAATAAATAAATAAATAAAATAAATCCCGGTCATATTCGTGCCATTATGTATTTTCTTCACAGCACCGTACACACCACAACTGGCAGACTATAAAACGTCCCTGATTAAAAGCTACAACAAAATTTAGCCATAAAAACACATCTGTCCACACATTGGCCGCTTTGTATCTCCATGTTAGAACGTGGGATGGATTTAAAAAAAAACTTTTACTTACCTTAAACTCCTCCACCCTCCACCACCAATACACACTGTAGTTAACCCTTCTTGTGTTCCATAATGTACAGATGTTTGTTGTGTGTCTCTTGGTTAGCAGTAGGGTATGCCACCACTCGAGTGAAATGAGGCGATTTGCCAAATGGGGTAAACAGTCCCACAATCAAATGAGAACACTCGCAAGAAGCTACACCAGACCCAAGCTTCTGAGCAGGGACTAATTTGCAAAACTAACTGATCCACTTGGGGCAAGTGGACTTAAGCTCCTCACGTCACTCACTTGACCCCACCCCTGAAAGGCACACATAACATTTCAGTGTTGTATCGTGCGGTTAATGCTGCCCTGAGTAGTTGTGCCATATCATATTGATGAAAAACAAAAACAAAAAAAAAACCCACTATCGGTACGTATTCTTATTCTGCATGTCCAATTCAGGGTGACTTGGATGTATGATATCTGCCGACTTTGACTTTGATCATCAGTCAATCAATAATGTCCATTCAACTTATATACATACCAATGGTTCTTCAGAGTCTTCAATGAACCGAACCTATTGATTTTTGACTGTGGGGGAGAACAGGTCATCTTCTGCTCTGATGCCGCTTTCAACTCAACCACTGGACCACTATGCCACACAAATCATATATCATTGTTTATAGATGTTGGAAGACCCCTCTCGGGTCTCTGCCTTGGTCCGCGTTCAGCATATTCGCTTCTGCGTCAGAAGGATAGTGACAGCAGCTCGGTGGAACAAAGGAATACATTACATTAACATAATTTTGCATGGTAATGTATTCAGCATTGGGAATGACTTTCCACAACACAGAGACATATTTGTGGATGGAGTGGAGGGAGCATTGTGTTAAGAGAGCAAAACGGAATGAATTTGCAAAAACATGCTGAAACGGCAGGCTTAAGTATTTGCCATCATATTTAGGATTCAAAATGAAGATAAATGACTGTAATCTCTTGAGCCCAATTGCGTTGACACACACCGCATCACATCTCACCCAGTTTTACTTCTTAACACACACAAATTTTTTCTCAACAAATATGGAGCTTAGACATTAATCCAAAATGTCCTCTTCAGCACCAATGTGAAGTGTGACCAACAACATGGACAGCACTTAAGAGAACTGCTGTCATTCGTTTTCTCAATGCAGGTCTCAGGCACACGTGGGAACCAAGTTGCTTTATTCAGCACAACCAGACAGTATTGTACTGCTCTGTAATTAAACGTTGATATGGGTCAAAACTCCCAGTAGGGTTGCTGGCATGGGCTGAAAAACAAATCGACTCTCCTTTAAGTGACTTTTATTAATTAGTCTTTCAAAGTCAGAAAAGAATATATCTTGTAAGCTTTAAGCTTAATGTAATGGGAAGTCCAATGCAATCAGAAATTCTCTCACTCCTTGGCAGAGATAAAGACTGTGCTCGCCAACGGCGGTACACAACAAACAAGTATAGTGGATGAAGTATGCACAATCTACTACTAAAAAGCGTGAGGATACATTACCTTTCCAAAGCTGCCCTTCCCAATAGCCCGCAATATCTGAAAGTGGTCAAAGTTCACTGCAAAACAAGAAAAAGAAAAAGCACTTCATCACTATAAAATTTGTCACAATACAGAACAATCAAAATATATTTGCGACAATGTCAACTTTCTGTTCTTGTCTGTAATATTAAGTGATCAGCTGGACATCTTTCCTGCTGTAAAAGGGTTTTTTCTAAGTTTGGTCGCTGAATTTCAATTTTTCTGTATGCTTTGTTGTTCTTACACACATTTATAAGTTGGAACAAGCCATAGTCCATCACTAACCTGTGCCAATGCAGACAATATGTCAAGATTAAATAAATGAAATATCTGAATGACACTTTCGGCCTTACTGTGTTTATCAAATGACAAAAACTGCACGGCAATAACTGAGCTTGCCTTCTTGTTTCACCTGCTGACATATTGTGATGCCTCTGAGCAAATGAGTTCATTGTGTGCCAAATGTAAACTCGGAATGATGTCATGACAGAATTGCTTGAAGGGCCTCGTTATAATGCCATCAAATAAACAGTAAATACGACAGCAAAAGAGCATGCGTTCTTGTACCGACTCTTATGCTGTAGAAAACTAAAATGGCTAAATGCTTTAAAACTGTGGCCAAATATAGTGCTGACATAAAGAACAAATTTAAGATTGCAAGGGATAAAGTATTGGATTATACAGTCATTTAAAAAAACCACGACTTCGGTAACGTGTCCCTTCATTAATGATTTTATCAACATCAATTTAGCTGAGCTGCTAAATTAATGCAGATTTGAAACAGATGGAAAGCACTTTAATACTGGTGAATAAATTAATCATCAATAAAATTTTTTTTATCATTCTTCAAATATTCGTTCGGACCAACTCAACTGTATTTATAGAGCACTTTCAAACAGCCATTGCTGCATACAAAGTGCTGTACATGGAGCAACTATCATACATACAACAATAAAGCAATAAATCAGTAACAAGGACGGTAGAAAGCACCAAACGGTAAAACTAAGATCAAGTCTGAGACATGCTGAGTCAAATGCCAAAGAATACAAGTGAGTTTTGAGGCAGGTTTTAAAGATGGGCAGCGAGGGGGCCGAATGTTCAGTGGTAGGTCATTCCAGAGAGAGGGACCAGCAACAGAAAAGGCTCGATCCCCTCTGAGCCTCCGTTTGCTTTTTGGTACTTCTAATTTATATAATAAGTAATAAATCTTTTAGACCAGTGTCTGAAAACAATTTGGCTATTGATCGGTCTTAGCTTCACAGAAATTTCAGCACGGTCGACTGGTTAACACGTCGGCCTCACAGCGCAGAGGTGCAGGGTTCGAGATGTTATGCCTCGGCTTTCCTGTGTGGAGTTTGCATGTTCTCCCCTTGCCTGTGTGGGTTTTCTCCGGACACTGCGGCTTTCTCCCACATTCCAAAAACATGCATGGTAAGTAAAATGAAAGCTCTAAATTGTCCCTGAGATTGGCTGGCAACCACCTAATGCCCGAAAACAGCTGAGATAGGCTCCAGCACACCCGCGACCCTCGTGAGGATAAATGGATTAGAAAATGGATAGACGGATGGACGGACGGGCGGGTGGGCGGGCGGACGGATGGATGGGAATTAAAACATAAGAAGGCCATCTAACAAGCCATGTCACAGGCAATAATGCAAGTGGAAGATTTTTGGGAAATAAAGAAAAAAGACAAATCCAATACATGTTGCCACACCCTAGACCAGATTGGCTCTCATGATGTGGGAGGCAATGTGGACCAGCGGAGTAGGGTAGCTGAGCATGATGAAAAGACAGAGATCATCCATTCATAAAAGACAATCAAAGGAGTCCGTAAAGAGCATCCGCACAGGAGGTTCAATTACCTTCATTGCTATCCTTCAAGTGTTTATGGAAGTCACGTTCAATCATGAGTATACTGCTAATGGCCTTTATAAATGGCATCACTCGCCAGAGAGTGGTAATCAAGTGAAGTAAACACAGAAAAAAAGCAGTTGATGATGATAGTGTGTAGTCCCCATAAAGCCTAAATAAGTATCATAATTTCTGGACAACAAAACACACTTGATTAAAAACCACAAAAACTAAATTTAGACATAAAAACAAATTTTACACACAATGGCCGCATGTCTCTAAATTTGAATATGGCATATTTGCAAAGAATGAGGTCATGCATTTGGATTTTTTTTTTTTATCTAACTTTTTCACCTATAACATCAATAGATTATTTCTTTCCCCCCCAAACAGTACCAAACGCAGCTAATGACACAGTGGCTCCCCAGAACCTCTATTAATCTCTCATTGTCACACGAGGCAAATTCGCAGACGAGCTTCACCACGCAGCAGTGTATCCATTGGAAACCAGTTTTTTACGTGTTTGCTACAACCCTTATGTAATCAGTCAGTGAAGGGATGTCGCTCCATGGCCGGACTTGCTGTCCTGTGTTCTGTTGCCACACGAAGGTTGAAGTCAGTCGGCAAAAAAATAACGGAGAATCGCGAGTTGCACTGTTGAGACTGCCGTATTTACAGCACTTGTTCCCTTTTCGTTCAACTACATACCTGTACTATGTCCACTATATTCGCTCCTCTACAGCCATGTACTGTTACGCACTCCCAACACTTCCATATTTCTCTCTCGCAGCCCGCGTGCACACTCCGATCCCAAATCTCTGATGAATATTCAGTATGAGGGTGGACTAGGGACAGTTTCACTGGTCCACTGTGACTTGATCAGTAATTTTATTGGTCAGATATGATGAGACTATGGGTGAATCTGCTGTATTGATGGCTTGTGGGTCGTCAGTAAAAACAAAGAAATAAAATGCATCACGTTTGGGGAAAAAATAGTGGCTTATAGTCCATAGAATATAGTACAGTGCTGATGTTAGATAAAACATTGACAGACAAAAAAAAAAAAACAATAATGAAAGTACAGTATGGCCTTTGATCGGAGATGATTAATCCTTAAATGTCACCTGCAGATCGCTGGTTGGTAGCAATGTTAAAAGGGAACATGAGCTAATTTAATCACGTGTTGGATCTAATTGAGACTGTTTGTGATTAAGAGGTATATAAATAAATGTGACTTGACTTGATTAGGGTGCTCCCTTAGAGCAGTGTTTCCCAACATTTATTGAGAATGACTCCCTTAGAGAACTACTTGTGAAACAAGGGGATCCTAAATTCAACAAAACAAAAGGATTTTGGAGAAACGGTTTACCGAGGTTTTAGTTGACGCTTTAAGAAAAGACTGACGAGACCCAACAGCATGTAGCATGCGTAACAGGATTTCATCTATCAAAGACAACGCAAAACAACATCTTCCCCTGTTGGGTTAGAAAGCTGCTGACACACCAGGGTGATATGCTGAGTGGGCTCCGCTGGCTTCCGCAGTGGGAGATTGGCTCCTGTGGAGGAGCTGCTACTGGCAAGAAGCCCATGCTACGGCATACATGATATTCTGAAATGTTTTGAGTGAACTTTTAAGTACCCGGTCCTTGGAAAAACTACATATCAATTAAGGGGCTGTTTTCGCAACAGTTTTGACCGGAAAAGTGTGTGAAAAGCTCAATTTTGAAATAACACTTATCAATTGGTCCATGTATTCCGGCTAGCACTGAGAGCACACATCATAGTGGGTTGGTGGCATACATTGTCATTGCTAAGGTAATTCTGTTACATTGTCGACCACTCCGCACATTATATCAGCAGCATTGTTAACTGCAAACCATTACAGAGGATTCCATCCGTGCACTCATAGAGTTTGAATGTTTTCGTACAGGATTACATCCATGCACGTGTATAATACTTTGGACGTGATTAAGTATGTCTTTGGGCTTCTTCTACACATGGGGCCATGGAGCACAACACTGCTACATGCTGACTGTGGATGCGTACATACCGGACTCCACTGTGCACTTTGAGTCATTTTTGTGGTCGTTAAGAAAGAGTAAATGTCACATTAAAAACAAGTAAATTAGACAGTTGAACGTCAACGTATGCAATTGCATGCGTGACAAAATGTATATGATTGGCAATTTCATGAGGAAACACCAAGATTTCCAGCATCATTCATTGCCGGTGTGTATGCGTGCGTGCGTGAAGCACAAAGGGAGCGATGACTCACGCGACTCTCCCAGCTGCTCATCCCAAGCATTTGAACAGGAAATGTGCAAATTCAGCTATTTTCATGATAAAATCAAAGAAATTATTGGATTGAGAGGGAAAATAATTGGAAAGCACAAACCATAGAACTAAAATGCAACGTAATTTAATGTAACCATAAGTTGTTCTTTATTATTCACATGCAGGGAAAAGAAAGCACCACCAGGGGGAAGCAGTGAGGCACTGCCTCCCTTGCCTACCCTGACGACAATGTCCTGCTGAGGTGCAATATCCTTAGTATGCAATGTACACTACAATGAATCTCGCACGTATGTGCACCTCCACACTGCTGATGTGCACAGGTGGATAAAAGCGATGGTTAAAGCAATGGAACAAAAGGTTGGGACGTGCAATGTGAGGGAATACTGAAAAAGACCCAATTGGAGGTAATTCTAGTCTGATACGGTATTATGTTGAGAGTAACAGGATGTGTCTTTGTATAACTCTACAACGCAAGCTTTGGTTTGCTTTAAGAACATGTCATTTACTTGTCAAAAACAGAAGCACCGGTGTGCATTCTGTAAATTAAATTTCTACCCACATCATCACATTGTCCATTATGTGTCCTCCAGTTTCACCCTAAGGAGGCTACTGCGAAAACAGAATCCCTACATAATCAATAAATTGGACAAAGTATACAGTTCCCCTGTCAGCTGGTACACTGAGCTGTGCTCTAACACTACCAAGGACTGTGAAGGGGCCAAAGCATCGTCTAATGGGGCAAATTGATATCTCTGATGTTATTACGTGTCAGCAATCCCATTTTTAGGATTAAGAGTACTATTGTTCCACCTCCTATTCACTTCTAACTTTATATTACTAGGCAGCTTAAGTGCAAAATAATGAGTGTTTTGGCAAGTGTGGTTTTATTTAT